AATGTTATTATATAAATAATGAATATTTTTATTTTTTTAATAATATTTATATGTTGTAATATGTTAAATTTTTACAGAAAGCTTATAATCTAAATATTTATTAATTATATATTTACATAATAACGTGAAAAAAATATACCTAATAATAGCGGTAACACATTGAGTGAATATTGAATAATAAATAAAAAAAATAATATGACACATATAATCATGTGTTATATATATATTTGTATTTAATTTTATTAATTGTTTATACTTCTTCAATTACTATATATATTTTATGCTTATAACTATATTTAACCTGTAGGCTATCGTGGTATATAAATTAAAATATGTCAATTAAGTGTCACATTGTTTTAAAATTTATCACGTTGATGTTCAGTATGAAACAAAAAGGTTACTAACACGATATTCAATTATTCTAATATTTATTTAAATATATAATTTTTTAAGTGTAGGTAGTTTATATTATATAAAAAACCATTGAAACTAGTTGCTTACTTGAGAGTTTATTTTTGATAGTTTATCTATTATCATCATTATTATTTTTTAAAATAAGATAAAGTAAAAGTAGCTTATACTGGTTAAATATAAATATGGGTATTGTATGTTTTAGGTAGCTATCCAAGTGTTCTTTGTAGCCCGTAAAAATATGCCACCCCTTAAATGATTTAAATTTTGTTTAATTTATTATTTAATATTTGATGCAAGGATGTTCAAGACTTCAAATTTAACTTTGAGTTTTTATTTTAATTTAGTAACAATAATTTTATTTATACATTTTATCAAACTTATAGAGTTTAATTTACATTAAAGTTTTATTCATTTATTTTATAAAATGTTTATGAAAAAAATATAGTAAAACTATCACTTTTAAAATATATATATATAATTAATGTACACCGGATAGATAACACTCACCATTTAATTTAAAAGATATTGGATTATTTTAAAATAATCTAGAGTACTCCGACATTACATATTATAGACTATATTTTATTATTTTCGTGTGTGGTATTATTATATATTGGTTTTCTTCGCAAGGTTACCTGATCCAGTTAAGGTAGTACATAAATATCCACGTTTGTTCCTGCGTGGTGGTGGATAGTAGACAAAGTTAGTATAAAAACATCAATGACCTACTAATAAACCTCAAAAGTTTTTTAAAATTAATTGATCATTAATTGATATTTTGAATATTGTCGGCCCCTGTACACCGCGTCGCATGTCCAAATCCGTGATATTACTTCGTTTATGCTTAACGTTCTTTCTGACATTTTTTTTTGCTCAGTTCTTGTAGGTCTTAGTGTGATGATAAATAACTTTAATCTTACTCAAGAAATAAACTATCAAATGCAAAAAAAAATTTCATATCTGATAAGTAGTTCCAGAGATTAACTCGTTTGTAAAAAAAAAAAAATGTTGGTTTAGCTTTATTCTATAATAATTAGAATTCAATTACTTTGTTTAATATTCATCTCCATGAATGGCATGAATATAATATGTATTTACACTTAGGCACACAGTCCTTTTAATTTACTTTTCAATGATACAGCCTACAAGTAGTCGGCATTGCCTTTTTCTTTAACTATTCATTGAACAGTATTCGGTATCAATGTAACGTGTTTTTTTAAAGTAGGTATACAAATGTTTATATTTACTATTAAAATAGGTATTACATTTAACAACATTTGGTAGGTACAGCTAAATATTTATCAGCGGTATAGGTAATTTCGAAAGCATAATTTGTTCGAAACTGGTTGATTGTACATTGTACGAATGTATAAATTATTTAACGAACTTAATTAATGTGATATTTTTATAAGAAAAAAACAAAAATAAATGAGAGTATATATATATACTATATACGCAAGCGCATGCGTGAGCCGGGTGTACACGAAAATGTTGATTGTTTGCCGCCGCCGGCTCTTCCAAACAACTATGAAACCGACGGACCTATACACGTTTAAGAGGTACCTATTATATACCTATATAATATAAAAATAAAGGCATTTATTGAATACCATTTAAACGTGTTCCTAAAATTTCACCCCTGCGCATAGGGCCTCGACAGACCCCGAACTCACGATTATTCCCGACCAAGTGAACAGCGGTTTGTACATATCTAGTATATCTATAAAAACTATAGGATATTATATTATTATACTTATATACGTGAGCGCCTTGTTGTATACCTATTCATATTATCGTTATAAGATTTATATTCAACAAATTAACACTCGATAATTATGACGGGAAATTAAAAACATTATGTATATGTATTATAGCGGTAAAGCGCATTAAATAGATATTTACCTAAACAGAATAGTGTTGGATTTGACAAAATTAGCCGGTTTATAAATTGTTATAATATATGCGAGTCGTATAGTATTTGACGTATAGGTAGGTAGGTACCAAACATAACGCAACACAGTCATAGCAATAATAAACCAACGTAATAATTTGAATTGCACGGAGACAAAAAATCAAAACACATGAATTGATGGACAGCTCTGCTACGTCGGAAACACACAAGCAATATAATTCAAATTACATCGCGTCCCACATTATCTAAAGCGAAGAGCATTCAACGACAGTAGTCATCTTCCACATATTATAGTTTCCGTTGTTTCCGATACTCTTGTGAGACAGCTCGACATATATACTGGTAATCTGAATTTAGAATAGTTTTATTTTTTTTTTTAATAAATCTTTTGTATACAAATTTTTTATAATTAGGGGAAGATTTCAGAAAGTGATTGGGAAAAATCAAAATACCTATCAGGTATGACTATACACAGATAGAATATAGAAAAAAATATAAAATATGCAACTATATGTTTTGAAGTTCATGTTTAATATGAAATAAATTACACTATTATAATACGTATAAATTGAGAATTATATAATACTATAAATTGTCATCGAACTTGAATGGCGTCGACCTGCGCTTTTTCTTTTCAATGCGATCGCATAGGTCGAATAACTCGTTCGATACAAATATTGTTATGCATTTTGGTATATTGTTTTACCGACGTTTATCGTAATCTCGCACGAGAATACTGAATTAATACCGTTATGTTTGTAAACGAGAAATGAAAAAAAAAAATTATACATGTTGTTTAAACGTTTTGTTTTAATACAAATGATCGCAGAGTGGCAAACGTGAAACGTCCGTCAGCGACGCCATATTATAATCGTTATTCGTTATTTTGTAATGGAGTCTACGACGGCGCGCGCGGGTTTCGAATACAAACTATAAACACAGAGAGTTTTTATAATTTCCCCGACACGCGGTGGTCTGATTTATATTCTCTTTGGAAAATCAATGTTGGTGACGCGCGTAGGTGGCGTCGGAGCCGGTGATGGCGGTGCCGGATCGCCGGAACCGTTAAACTCATAATATTGTTATATAATGGAAAATAAAAATATATATTACTGTTATTGTTTCACTTTCATGTTATTTAAATATTATATTTTATTTTACACGATACAGTTTACCGGTCGCTATGTCCTATTCAAAAATCAACATTTTTACGTTATAAATACATAACGCGCACACATAATATACACATACGCACTTACGACATACTTGCGCGCGCGCGCGCGCGCATACAAACTCATAAACAATAAGGGCGGTTTACTGTTTGTTGTTTAATATAATATTAATTATAATAATATAAAACGAACGGACGAATATTATAATACGCAGGCATAATCATGAATATGTGTATGCACTATTTTTACGTGCGAAAAAAGGTTTATATTATTTTTAACAAACAATAACGGCCCTTGACGAACGATTTTGTACGATTGATGGTTCTCGATCGTGGAGCACCGAACGGTAACCCACCTCCGAAATTTAAGTAAAAAAAACTAGTACCCGTGGGCAAAGATACACTGGTAAACATTTCAAATATTTAGTTTTTTGAATAAAAAATTACTAATGTTTACCAACACTCAGTACGGTACTTTTTATGCGAACACCACCCATCTGCCGGCCATCGATGATATATTATGTGTTAACGTCCAACCGAGGCATTTAAGTGCATCGGCGACTCCGCGAAACAATCATAGTTATTGTAGTGTTTTACACACACGTAATTGCCAATTGAAAGATGAATTATCATTAAATAATAGGATATTATAATTTCAGATTAATTTATTATTTTAATAGTATTATTAAAATCGGAAAGTATAAAACACACTGACCATTTTTATTTTTATCATTGGGCTATGACGTGTGTTCGTGTGTATTTAAACTGAATTCGTCAATACGTATTATATAATGTGTAATATTATGTGAGAAGACGAAATATTCAAGTGTAGAGCGATTACAGTAAAATTACGGCAGAGTGAGTAGTAAACACCAAACACGTTTTATAACTTTGAAAATATTCTAGGACAATGTGTTGTGTTTGCCAAAAATCGTGCCGGTACGATTAAAAACGCATTTTTCGTTGGATACGAACGTGCAATGGAAAAAAATTAATATTTAATAATAATAACTAATAAGAGTATCTTGTTGTTACACGACTAGTGGAAATATTTATAATATATACATCCTGAGCGTTTTGCGTAATATATCAAGATAGATTTAATATTATTTTTAGTATAATTCAACTGTGTATAATAAATGTTTTCGAAATTGGTTTTATGTTTTGAATTCGTATAAAAACACGGTCCACCGCGGCATATATTTTTTTTTTGTTCGATATTAACGTTCGAAGCGTCCGCGAGGTCGCGCTCACGATTGCTTTAATCTCAACACCATTACCGTGGACCTCCGGTTTTAATCTCAAACCCCTCTTGATTTTTCTTGGATTTCGTCCATAAGATTTTTAAAAACAAATAAAAAGCATAAATATATTGCAAAAATTCTTCGAAAAATTTAACAACCATTATTGGGGTTTTAAACGTTCAATAACCGGTGAAAACGGACATTGAAAAATCGCCGACGTCCAGCCCCACCAGCACGCGCCATCTTCACAAACAAAGAACACCGCTCGCTCAGGCCGTATTCGCTGTGCGTTTGTCCGATCGTCCGTATGCTCTGTTAGCTTTCCGTGCCGACCCGCGTGCATAACATTTGGTTTTTATTCGTTTTTACGATTATTTCCGTCCGCAAGTCCGTGTGACCAGGTTTTCTGTCGTCCGCAGCAAGCATACGCACAACGCACCGGTGCGTTTATCCCGTCGATTTTCTAAACGTCGCGAATCCCCGTCCAGCTGTACATTTTTTGTAATTTTTTTTAATTTCAAAACCCAAAAACCAAAATGAGTACGAAAGAAGCCAAGAATGACGTCGCCGTAGACAAGATTGCCGAAAACGATGTCGTAGACGCCAAGGCCGACCTTAAGGGCACCAAAAGAACAGCAGACGTAAGTTGTAGTTTTAGAATTTTTTTTTGTTATTATTTATTATTATACACCTAGATTTTTATTTAATCCGATGGCGCTCGTTGCAAGATCGACAACGAAATAAAAAAAAAAAAAAACAATGACAACAATATTGTTCGATAAGGTGTTTTCGGGACTAGTATTTTGATTTTATTTATTCCGACCAAGTCGCGCGTACGCGAAGAAGAATCATCCCGCGCATCCGTTACGCGCGCGTTTTCCCCGGTTTTCGAAATATCGCGCGAGCCGCCGCAACCGTCACCGCGTTGTCGGTTACCGGCGACCGTCGCCGCCGCCGCCGCGATTACAAACACCGCATGCCCGCCATTTTTAACCCCCCCGGCTTTGCACCATTGCCGGCCGGCACGCGTGCCGTTTTTTTCGTCTTTGCGTCTTTTCGAGTGTCTTCGCGTAGCCACTCGAAGTCGTTTCGAATATGATTTTCTCATTTTAGGCGTCGTCTTAGGATATTTTTTATTTTTTCTATCGTTTACCGAGCGTGGTTGGATGGTCTCGGTGTGTGCTGCCGTTTATGTAATTCCCGCGGCTTACCGCCGCCATCGCCACCATCCACCACATGTTCACCGTCGTCGTCATCGCGAATATCACCTTCACCGATCACCTCGGCTGTCATAGGTATTCCGATATTCGGTGACGATGCGCGCTGTTTGTTTCCGGCACACCGACGGTTGTTTACCCGGTCTCTTAAACCCCTCTCCCTCCCCTCGCCATTCCATCATCGGTACACCCGTTCACCCACCCGTCTCGTCAATCGAGTCGGCGTCGGTACAGCGGTGCGGTACGGAACCTCCTCCCCACCACCCATCTACACATAGTTCCCGCGACCGTCGTACTCGATTTCTTCTCTACGAGAAATTGACCACGGAACGCCGTGTAATTACACGGGCCGCACACACGAGTTATAAACTCTGGTCTTGAGTTATTATTACATTATTAATATTTATTACTCATTATTGCGACACGCGTCGTACGGTTATTATTGTTGTTATAATAATGCGGGGGCGTCTTTTTTACACTCATCATTCTAATACGAAAATCATTTTTCGCTCGGCGAGTACACACTCCACGCGTTACTTTATCAACCGATCGTCGCTTGAACGCGCGCGCCGCAGCCGCTTTTCCACAACGGTTCGCCGTGATGGTGTTGTGTTCCGGCGGCGGGGGAAACCGGCCTATTGCCGTTGTCGTCGTCTAGGACGCGTGTTTTCCGCACGCTACGGATACGTCGAGAACCGAGAAACGGACGCGAATATAACGCTACTATACTGATCCATCATCTCCCCTCTGTTGTTGGTGGGGTGGAGTCAAGTTGGTTGGGGGAATTATTGTTTTATAAATATACATATATTTGTAGCTAATATTATTATTATTATTATTACTACTACTTCCACTATTGCTTTTACTCGAGCACGACGTGTCTTGTCAGATCCGAATACCGACGACGTATGCTAATTGTTTCTAATTTTATTTGAAAATTCAAGTTGACAACGCCATTTTTCAAGACGGTATGACGAGATGTGCGTCACCTGTGAATCCTCGCTTTCTAAAATTTCTACGGTTACGAAATTGCGCCAATTACTGTCTAAAATATATTAAATCTAATATACCCCAAATTATTATGATGTAACACGAGTAAAGTAACTAAATCCTTCTGTGTCATCAATTATAGGAAAAATCAGAAGAAGTCAAAAAATTAAAAAAAGAAGAAAATGGTGAAGAAGACCTAGATGAAGAAGATGAACCTGAAGGTGAAGAAGATGAGGAAGAGGAATTCGCCGAAGGTGAAGATGATCTAGATGAAGCTGATGGTAAGTTCCTGCACATATCACATGTGTAATAATATAGTTTTTTCATGCATTATTTTCACAGGTTGTTCAGAAGATGAAGATGACGATGTAGATGGTGTAGAAGAAGAAGATGATGTGTAAACTGACATAATGTACAATTGAACAAGTCTCTTAATTTTATATAATTTATACATAGTGCCGCATGTACTCGGTAACTCCGTTCGATAGAATTTGATTCCAAAATGTAATTTTTTTTTATATACATAATTTGTAAAACAAAGCTTTTTTGCTACTGAGTGACTAAGACAAAATTGAATTTTTTTTTAAATTTTAAACACGATATTCCTACTAATTTGTCTTGTGTACATGTTCTAAGTCTCTAGTCACTCACTATCAGTCAAGTTTTGAGCATGTACTTGTGAAAAAAAAGTTTCTAAACTAGGTTACACTTGACTGGAATACTTAAAACTAACTCGACCACCGACTATTACATAATTGGTTTTTTTTATAACAGATTTTAAACGCAATAATTTCTTTTTTTTTTAAATAAATTTAATACTACTTAAGTATAAGTAAATAATATAAATAATATTTAAAAATAAAAAATTGAAATACTGAATTGTAATTTAGTTCATAGGTTTGTCTTCTAAAAAAAAATATATATAAATATATATATTATCGTTTAAAATTTAAGCTACTTTTGTATAAACATTTTGATTAAATGATAAGATAATCAAATAAGTACCTCGTGTTGGTTTTTTTTATTTTGTATTCTCGGTGTGTTTCAAAGTTTAGGAAATTTTTTTTTGTTTCTCATTCCAACTAAAGAATTTTTTTAAAAACTTTAGCCACTGAAAATATGTTTTAAGTTAACGTTTAACATTAAATAATAAAAAAAGTTGTAATGTCAATTTATTTCATCCCATTTAAGTAAAATAAGTATATATAATATGATATTATTTAATATATATATATATATATATATATATATATATATATATATATACACACGTCATAAATGTTTTGTTGTTTAGACAGTATTGTAGTTGACAATTAATTTATTGTTGTAAATAATTCTAGTACAAAATAATATTTGGATTGTTAATATTCTTAATACATATTGTCAGTTGCTACAGCTCAGCATTTAGTTTTTATTTACTTTAAAATTACTGTTTAAGTAATACAATATTACCTATTTTATATACTGAATGGTTAATGTGACCCATGGTGTAAGCAGCGTTTACATATTGTGTCCTGTTTCTATATTTTTAACCAGTTACTCAATTTCTGATATGAGTAACAAAACAAGTTAAAATTTAATTTTTTTAATAATAATTATTGTCTTTTAAGAAACCTGTGAATAATTTTAAAAAGAGTTTATGTGTAATAATTGTCATTTAACTCTAATAAATTTCCTATTCAAATAAATGATAAAATAATATCTACCGAGTACTTGGATATGTATTAATTTACTTGGTATTAAAGTAATCATAATTTTAAGATATATTATGTTACTCGTTAACAATTATAAAATAAGAATGTTAGGTGTATAGAGTTCAATATTGAACTATTATTATGACTGATATTCAAATAAAAGTACTAAATAGTAACTTGAAATTTATTTGTGTCCATTAAATTATTAATATATTTACTTTAAGGTGTTTTGTAAAATAGAAATTTTATAAATTAGAATATTTGGTTATTATAACTAAGCAAAATCATAATTAACATAACAAATGGCAGAACTTGCCTTTTATTCACTAATGATAGGTATTGTTTTAAATGGAAAATCAAAAAATTAACTTATATAAGCTAAATAACATCCCACTTGATGGTTTTAAGTATTTTAACTATTAGTGTGAAGCAAATTGAAATAATGGTTATTTCATTTTCATTATTGTTTTCCTTGTACATATGCAGGGCCGCTTATCGAGTAACTGCAATCTTTTGTTGCGGATTTCACAAAGTTTTTTCATTACTTTATTTTTTGATTTAAGTTTCAACATATAATCGACCAAACCCTTCATTTGCTGTTCAAAATTAAAAAAATTAATGGGTTATTACACCAATTTTTAGCTTGTAATTGTATAAATCTTACCTGAAATCGTTTATTAGTGGTATTCAATAAATGTGTATCACAGCACCTTTTGGGAGTTGAATTTTGTATGTTCTTTAATTTCAATGACTGCAATAAAGAAGTGACAACTAGTATCTTTTAGGAAAAATTTATAATTGGTGATTTGCAGTGTGTTCTATACATGTCCATTACTACATTGGGCTTTTTTATGGGGAACAATGTGACTGGTATTGGATGGTAATTACAATGATAAATGTTAAAGTTTTTATTGATATATTTATACGTAAAATTTAAATAAACTTGAAGTAATCCTCTTCCAACGATCCTTGATCTTTTTATATATGTAACAAGGAAAGCATTTCTGAAGTTGGAAGTCTTAAATTAGTCATGAAGGTCGCTATTAATTTCAATAATTAACTGAAACTATGTATTATAATGATCCCATATTATTTTTATTTATATATTGTTATTAACTTCGACTAAGTAATTTAGTATAATAAATGTTATATTTTTAGGTATTGCAATATTTAAAATTTAATTTTTAGATTCTGAGCGGAATTATGAATGGGTTGATTTTATGACGGTATGCCTTTCTTTTATCATAACCTTTTGGAGCAATAAAAACCAAATGAAATTCTTATAAAATGTTTATATTAGCGATTATATATTATGATATAAATTGAAACATATTTTGTGTCTTTTTGAACTATTGATAAACATTTTGAAGTTTTCGCTATTTGTTATTATTTTTTCTATAAACGAGTAGGTATATTTTCGTTTGGTCAAAAGCTTAAAAATGTAATATAAGGTTCCTGATAAGTTATTACTAGAATTGAAAAACAACATAGTAACTTCACAATAAGTTTTTATGACAATTTAAAATTAGAATTTAAACTAAATTTGGAAATTCATTTGTATAAACTCTTTAATTTTTAATATTCATAACAAACTTTAGAACATTTAATACAATACTCTTATAAGTGATTCTCAGTTATCACTATAATCCAAAAGTTAAATAAATATGATATAGGTATATTTTTTTTTGTTATAGATATCTGAATTTGAATATTTAAACAATGATTTATATTCTAAGACCTGAGTTGTAATTAAAAATATTAGTGAGGTTTTGAAATATTCATGTATATTATTTTGAATTTTATTATAGGTACCTATGCAGACATTTTAAAGATATTTCAATTATTTTTAAGGTATTGCCTATTTATAGTTTATGCCTTATTACTTATTACTAAAAGTAAAATATATTTTTTTAGAAATATAAGCTGGTAGATTTCGTTCAGAATCATTTTTGAAGTTATAGCAGTGATCTGCCTCAATGACAAAGGTACACTTGGCTTTAACTGTACAGTAGAGTGATCGTCTACATTACCGTCATTTTAAAATATGTATTATAAATACGCAACTATAGTGTTAGTTACATTTTATAATAATAATAAAATCTCGAAAGGTTAAATATACATACTTGAATATTAGAGATTTCAGTTAAATGTTGAATAGTTTTAAGAGATTCTTTCAGTTGTGAACTTGCTATTTGTTCGGCTATCATAATGTGTGCACTTTTCAATTTTAAACTTTCTTTTAAATCTCGATTTTCATTTCTCAATTCAGTCTCTGTATCTGAGAATTAAAAACGGTTATTAATCTATTATAATACTAATAGATAGGTACATATAAATTATAATATTATATTCTTATATACATAGACGTACTTGTTATGTGTGCTATTTTAGAATCGTATTTCTCTTTTATATCTTTTATCTCATTTTGATGTTGGGATAGAATAATTGCATTTTCTTTGGTTAAATTTTCTGTCAATGTTGCTTTGTATTCAATGTCTTTAAAATATTGATATTTGGCTATCAAGTAGTTTCTTTTCTTAGACTGTTGCAAGACGGCGTTTTGCATGTTGTTTAACACTTTCTCGTAACCAACTATAGTATTTTGCCAGGTACTTAAATTGTCTAGGAATACGTCCATTTGTTGCTCTAGTTGACTCTTAATGTGCAATTGATTATCGGATGACAACAAAGATGACCGTGAAGTTGCTTTGTGCTGCTGTTTGCTTTGGGTTTTTAACATATTTTGTATCGTTTTATTTTTTTCGTTCAATACATACTCTAAGGTAATTGTCTTATGTTTTAAATTTTCGATATCAGCTTCTACTGACTCAATGCTATGTTTCAAATCATTACACTCATTTTGTAACACTGTGATATTGATGTCTTTTTCGTGGAGCTGGCTAGTAAATTCATTGACTATTTGTTGTGTGTAACTTTCGTTTCTCTGACATTTTTCTTTTTCTTTGTTGTACATTGCATTTGCAAATTCGAATTTATTCGTTTGCTCTGTTAAATTTGTTTGAAGTGTTTTAATTAGGTTATTGCCATCGACATATTTCATTTCTCTGTCAGTCAATCGTTGTCGATAGTCGTTGAGTAACGTCAATAAGTGTGCGTTTTCTTTATTTAGCTTGTCGTACATTAACTGCATTTTCGAATGATCTTCTTTGAGGTTTTTGTGTTCGTTTTCTTTGCCAATTAATGTTATTTGGACCTGTTTTAGGTGTTCGATTTCATAATTTAGTTTTTCGTTCTCGTTTTCCAAATGTTTTTGCCATTCTTTGTTATCATCAATTTCTTTTATTAATTGTTGATTTTTGTCTTCAATATTTCTAATTGAACGTCTATTAATTATTTTTAAATGTTCTTCTTTATCGGCTGTTAATCTCGTAAGCATATTAATTAAGTCACTCAATTGATGGTTTTCGGACTTGAAATTGCTAAAACCTTGAATTTGATTGATTTGTTCGGCGATCAACATTTTGCCTTCGTACAATTCATTATTATTTTGCGAATTATCAAATGTGCCGTGGAATTCATCAATCAATTCTTTAGGAAACTCTGACAAATTTTCATGTAATAATTGTAATGGTACGACTGTATTTTGTTCTTTATTAACCGAATAAATTTCGTCTTTCAATTGTGATATTTTTAGATCTTTGATATACAATTCTTCTTTTAATTTTTCTACGTTGTGTAGAATTTCATCATAATTACTTAACGTTTTCACGCGTATGTTCATAAGTTGTTTATCAAAACTATTTTTCAATTTATCGTTTTCTGCTAATATGTAATGATATTCACTTTCACGTGCAACTAACGCAGCGCAAATATTGATCAAATGCATAACATCTTCCTTGTCATCGAATCTACGACCTAATGCTAAACGAAGATTAATTATTATTTTATTCATTTCAGATTTAAGCTTATTGTGTTCTTTAACTACACAGTTATTACTTTCATATTTATTTCGTAAAGTTCTGTTCCTGTTCTTTAATTGTTTGTTGTTTTTTTCAGATTCACTCGTAGCAAATCCTATCATTTTGTCCAAATTAATAGCGTCTTTATGACTTATGACGTATTTACCATCTACAATTCTTGATATAAGTTTTTCTTTAAATATTTTAAGAATATCTTCAAAGGAAGTATTCAATTTGTACAGAACTATTGTTTCGTAGTTTGAATTATCAAATGAATTAAGATTCAGATTAATTTGCCCACCTGCAGTCATGTAATCCATTACCACAATCTTGTTTTCTGTTATATCTGATAATGATCTCCTTCCATTAAGTTGGTAATTACAATTTATTACCTATTATTTCAAAATATTAAAATAATATTAAATTATACCTTTATTATATGTTATTTTATCTAGTATTATGCACATGCATATATAGTTAAAATCCATTGACCCGGTAAATTAAATAGATATATTTATTTAAATTTAATTAATTAATTTATTACTTATTAGTTATTACTTATTACTTATTAGTAATCAAAGGAATTAAACTGATAATTATTTTTTAAATACTAACCTGGTCCTTTTTGTTTTCGTCATTATATGTCGTTTGATTACTTATGTTAGTTTGTTGAAATGTACCAGACATTTTTTTTGATAATATCTGATTTGAAATAACCCAAACAATATTTAATATATAATTTATAATTGAAAAATAATTTATAAATGTATGTATATATATTATAGACTTCAATTGACGTTGTTTATTAATTACCAATAGGTATAAATAGATTTAAAGTTAATCGTATTAGAATTTATTTTTAGGTTACGCACACGAAAATTAATTATGTTGATAAAGTAACTTAATAATAAAAAATTCTTTTTTTTTATCGAAGTCGATCCTCAAAGGTGAAGTAAATTTTTAGTAGATCGCGGCCAAAATAAGTTTGGCCGTCCCTGGTGTATAATATACTTATTATAGGTACAAGTACAATATGCATAAATGATATATAAATGCATAGCATTAAATGTATTATGTTAAATTCTGATTTCGCTTACCTTTTATTTCAACGTATTGGTTAGATAAATACGAAATATGTATACCGCAACAACAGTAGTAGGTACATGCATCACACATTTAAAAATTTTTAATTTTATGTGTTATGGATCGTCAAAAAATGATTCGATGATGGGTTAATTGTTAAAGCCATAGATTATAATATTATAATATTAGTTATCGTCTTTCTTTCGGTGAATCGTCAATTTTGTTTTCTATATATCGATGACTGACAGAGTCGAGTCACATAGAGTCAATAAAAGCGATAGAAAATTTTATAGAATTACTTATGGCGGCAGTTGTTGTCAGTTGTCACTAATTGTTGGTCATAATATTTTAATTTCCTCCATGATTCCTGAAAGATTGGTATCCCTTCGTTCATTGCTGTCATTTGACCACTAACCGGCGTTAATTATCGCGATAATAATGTACACATAAATATATAATATCCAGACCATTAACCAAGGTAGATTCTTTGTTTTAATCGGTTGGACGTGCAAAGTTTTCACAGAAAGCGTATTTTATTATTTTCGAATAGAATTCATTCAAGGTATCAAGAAAAGAATTATAATAACAAATACAAGTAATAAATAATTAGTAGGTATATTCAATATATATATTTATATACTATTTTTTTATTTATTTGTGCAAGTTGTATGATATAACAAACTGATTCAATTATTCTAAGTTTTATTATTTTTATTTTGTATTTAAATTTGTTAAATTTGAGTTTTAAGTGAAATTTTTTTGGTTAAATAATACCTAAGACATTTCAATATTTGTGTATTGTGTATATATTTTATCAGAATTTTACATGCTTAAAATAACTTTCAGAGGCTTCAGTGACAGCCTTCTGCATGCACAGAAAAAGAGGCCTGCGCACACCATGATATAGGGGCTTGAACTTCATTTTAGCTCGCGAAAATTGAATACCTAGATATTGTTTTATAGATAAATAGGTAAGATTGCTTTCGCTTATAAAAATACAATAAAAAAAAAATAAATAAATAAATAAAAAAATGGCTTAGAATAGTCAACTTGCCATGCATTACTATATAAGATTGTTTTTAAATAAAAGAAAATAATATTTAATTTATTATTATTTATTATTTAAATGTACAAAAAAGTGCAATACCTTCATGTGGTTAACTACCTAGTATAGACTTAAAAAACAATCGATTAATTTTAACGGAAGTTATTTAGAGTTTGTTCTAAAATTTAAAGTTTATGGAGTAATTTTAGCTACGTTCGAAAACATACCAAGAGCTATATCTGATCTGCCATAGGCGGATTGCTCATTTCGGTCGAAATAGTTTACAGAGTGAGGTACAATAAAATTAGGTGTGCCAAATTGACCGTGAATTAACGTAGATGTACTCTAAAACTGAAATACACCTTTATCTTGGTGCATTATAAGTTTGTTAATTTTTTTCCGGTCAAATTTTAAATATATACAACTAAAAATTAAAAAAAATCGTATAAAATAAAATAAAGTCATTATAGTTATCTTTTGGTAATTATCGTTGTACTAGGTTATATTGTGGGTTGTGAGTTTTTTAAGTCATTTCACTTTTTATTCATCTATGTTTTTAAGATATCACGGGCCGCATCGATAGAAGTATGATCAGTTTACAAAAATACGGGTCATTCTTTGTCAACTTCTTGTTCAAACTTCAAATATATTCCTGATTGTTTTGGTTTTTCAATTTTTGAAAGATTAATCACAACACCTATTTTTTCTGATGTGTGTGAAATATATTTAAAATTGGTTTCTCGATAGAAACGGTTGTTTAAGTTATTTGTCCATTTTGCTTTCAAGGATTCTTCGCATCTAAAATCAAAACCCGGAGGAGGAATCAGATATTTTATAACCGTGCCGAACATTTTAGTCGACAGTTTAGCGATTAAATTATGTTTTTAGTCGAAATATTTTTCAACTAAAAAATAATTATATGGTCGAATATTATTAATTAATATAAATTATAATTTAAATTTTGTTGTCGAGTGGATTTTCTGATCAAAGTAATATGTAATTAAGAATAATAATTAATAATTGAAATTGACAAACGTACCTTTTTAGTTATTAGTCTAGAGGTAGGAATTACCTTATCTTTTGTATATTATTTTTGAGTCTGCCCATACCAAAAACTATACATTGATATTATATTATATTTTATATTCAGTCTAAATACATTTTTGTATATTTGTCAATTAATATGATAATTCATATATGAATATATGTGTTTCTTTATTCATATGATAATTTTACTACATCAAGATTTTGATATAAAAAAAATTATTTGTGCGGAATATAAAATAATATAAGATATTTTCTGCATGATATTTGCCATGTATCTAATAATTAATGTTTTTTTGATATCTAAAAATATTTATTAAAAATAACATATTTACAGTATATCTTTTTAATATCAGAAATAATATATCGAAAATCTGATTTGTTAACAACATTCATGTGATATTGTTTAAATGATGTATACAGGATATTTAGTCTTTAATATATATATATATATATATATCATGTTTAAAATTGTTTATCATAAATAACATATCTATAGTGTATCTATTTAATATAGGAAATAATATATTGAAAAACAGATTTGTGTGCAACAATAATGCTATCCATGATATAGTAAAAAAATATTACACAAATATCCCTTGAAGATTCATTTATATATTTGTATATTTAATGCATGTCTTAAATAACACTGTACAAAATGTTTTAACATAATATATTAGATATCTGTAGGATGTCTAATGAATCAATTATCCACATCTCTTGGATATTTTGAATGAAATATTTAACAAATATCAGATAAAAATTAATACGGATATTCTCCGTATGTTATATGTATATTTAATAATTATTGATTTAAAATAAGAATCGGAAAAAAATACAAAAAACTTGATCGTAAATGTAATTTAAGGCGCCACTCAAATTTTACCGGAGTAAGATTTGTTCTTATTGCTACCTGCCTAATTAATCTTGGGAAATATATGCTAACATCTATTCATAGTATATGCAGTTGAATTTCGGTTTGAAATCTATAAAAAATTATTAATCATATAATTCAATGGTAAAAGTAATTTTTGCATATTTGAGAATATTTTAAGATAAAAGAATATTAGAAAATATATTGATTCATTTTATGGAATTTGGATATTTTGTGTTATAGGGACGAAAATTATAAATAATATTAAATAAGTTTTTAGTCTGTTATTATTGAGATAACTATAAATGGAATAACGATATGGAATAAGTTAATAAAGTGTTAAGTTAAATTTTTTTTCAAGCTAAATTATAAGATATTCTTTATTTAAATAAATAAAAAATATACATATATTTCAGTAAACATATAGAATTGTATCATAATTAATGACCTTTATGTATCAATTAGATTATATTTTTTTTAAACATAAAAGCATATTTTGAATTTAGGAGAATATATTACTGTAAAACCATATTTTTTGCATATTTAATTACCTACAGTTTTTAAAGAATATTAGAAGAATATTGTCAATTTTTTAGGGAATATTAGCATCTTATTTTGACTATTTTAAGAGAATATTATTCCGACCTCTAGTTATTACAAGCGATAATAGCTGAGGTAGTTTATAAGATAATGATCATGAAAATATTTGAAACACGAAACTAAAGCAGAAATTGAGATGAAGTTTGTAGACAGAGAAATAAAAAAAAGGAAATTTAAATACAATCCAACAATATACATTTAAAATAAATCAAACAAAGGTGATCCAGGTTAATATTTATTAAAGTACTTAAAAAGAATAGCTCAAAATTTCAATTTTTTTTTAATTATATAATAATAGCTAATTATTTTATTTTTTTTTTAAACATTAAACTCAACATTTATATTTATATTTTTATAAATTTTTTAACTATTATATATTTTGATCACTTGTATTTTGGATATTTTATTTTCCGATCAAAAATGTGTTGGACAAAATGATATTTCGACCAATAGAATTTTTGTCGTTAGATTTTTGACCAGATCACTCTCACCATTTATAACATAGTCAGCTTAGTATATGGTGTGGGTTTTAGTGTACCCATTAGATATGTAATAAGTATTATACGAATTATTGTGTTGAGTTATATATCTACCTTATTCGCAAGTGTGCCATACATACACACTGCAGTTTTCTTATTATGTAATCATAGGAAATATTGTATTAGTAATTATTAGTCATTGATATTTATAATTTTCTATCTATAAATTCGTTAAAAATACGAAAATTTAAATGACGTGGTAGTATGTTTGAAGAAGATATTAATAATAGTTAAGATCGTATAGGTAATTATTATTATGTTTTTATACATTATATAATTTTATATTACTGATAGGAACTTAGATAAATAAATAAGTAAATTTAAAATTTAGCACTTAATAAAAATTATACCTGTATAAATAATGTTTTTATATAACTTACAAATAATAATTTTTTACAGCAAAATGTTTCAATAAATTTACAATCGGAAGCATAATATCTAATTTAAATTTGTTAGATTAAATAATAATAATAGGTACCTATGTAAAATGTATTGATAATTAAGT